AGAGAGAGAGAGAGAGAGAGAGAGAGAGAGAGAGAGAGAGAGAGAGGGAGAGAGAGAGGTGAAAAAGGGATGCTACAGATCCGTCTCCAGGCAGTACTTGACGCGAGTCTTGCCTAGAGGCGGCGCTGTAGCCGGACTTCCGTATCCGCCGCTAGCGTCGTAGATCCGGTTTGCATCATAGTTGTTGAGGCGCCGCGGCGGCGGCGTGCGCGGGGAGTGCGCGCTCTCGTTGGAACAGCCGCCGCCGGTCACGTGGTTCGGCCGCGCCGAGCCTCGGTTTGAGATGTCGGAGAGGTAGACGCCGTAGCGCTTACCCGTGGCGCCACCTGGCACCGACAGCGTGCGCCGCAGCCCGCCGCCGCACGGCGCCACGGTCGTCGTCTTCTCGTGCGCGTTCTGGCCGCTAGGTGGCAGCTGCAGCAGCTCCTCGACGCTAGCGTGGCGCGCGGTTTTGGCAAGAGGTGACGGCGGGAAGGGTTGGGGGTGGGCGGCGGCAGCGGCGGCGGCCAGCGACCACGCCCTCCCCCCGCCCCCACGTTTCGGCAGGGGGCGTCGCTAAGGCACTGTGATTGACGCAGTTCGTCGTCGGCTCCGGTTTCTCACGCAGCGAGTCCATCTCGACGACGGCATCGTCGTCACCGTCACCGCCGCCGCCGTGCTCATGCCGTCGTCGTCCCCGCTTCAGTAGGCGTCGTCGGCGACGTCCCAAGCAGCAGGCGGTGCAGACGACGACGACGATGACGACGCCGAACGAGGCGATGATGATGACGACGGCGGGCGCGCCGTCGGCGTCGACGGTGGCGACCTCTCCACGCGGCTCGTCGTCGTGTCGGTGCACGAGCGACGCGTTCGCCGCGCCACCTGGGTTCTCGGCGTAGCAGACGTACTCTCCGTAGACGTCGCTGGGCGTTCCGTACACGGTCAGTACGCTGTGTCTGTCGCCAACGTCGCCATTACTGCGGCTGCTGCTGCTGCTGCTGCTGCTGCTGCTAGTAGAGTAGCTGTCTCGTGAGATCGTGTAGTTGAGAAAGAGATCTGTCACCACGACACCGTTGCGATACCACAGCACGGTGGCGCGCGGGTCGGCGCTGACGCTGCAGCGCAGACGCACGGCGACGTCGCTCGCCGACAGCGCCGCCATGCGCACCGTCGGCGCGCAGGCGAAGTCGAGCAGAGTCATGCGGTCCCAGTCCGCGGCGCGCGCTCGCGGCGGCTCCGCGCACGTCGGCGACGCGCCGAAGCCGACGCGTCGTCGCTTCGCCCAGTCCACGAGGGGGCGCAGCGAGCAGTCGCAGCGCAGCGGGTTGCGGTGCACGTCGAGCTGCAGCAGCGCCTCTAGCGGCAGGAAGGTGGCGAGCGACAGCGTCGTCAGCTCGTTGTCGCGCAGGCTGAGGAAGTTGACGTTGTCGAGTCCGGCGAACGCCTCCGGTCCGACTTCCCGGAGTCCGCATCCTCCGAGTTCGAGCCGCGTCAGCTTTCGTAGCGACGCGAACGGGGAGCCCACGAGCGCCCCTAGCGGGTTGCCGTCCAGCGACAGCGTTTTCAGATTGGGGAGGCCACGCAGGGCGGCCGCCGGTACTTCCCGTAGCGCGTTTCCGCCTAGCAGCAGGGATTTCACATTGCGGAATCCCGCCAGGGCTCCGGGTTCGATGTCGCGCAGGCCGCAGCGCGCCAGCGACACCTGCTGGAGGTTTGGCGCGGCTCGGAAGCTGTCGGCACGCAGCGTGGCGACCGAGTTGTCGTCCATGTTCAGCACGAGTGTGTCGGCGGGCAGGTCGGGCGGTACGCGGGTGTATCCAGCGGCGCGACAGTCGACCGATAGCTGGTTCGTACGCACGATGCACTCACAGTGTCGCGGGCAGGTGGCGACACTGGTGTGCTGCAGCAGCAGCAGCACCAGCACGAGCACGAGGCGACAGCGGCGGAGCGACGATGACGTGTCCGACGATGACGATGACGTGTCCGACGATGACGATGCCGTGATGAGGTGCGGCAGCAGCAGCGGTGGCCATGACATCTCAGCGGGCTGCCGACGCTAGGTGGCGCTCACACGCTCATGGAACCTGACAGAGAGATGGAGAGAGAGGGTGAGTGAGTTGGGATACCGTAAAAGGACACTTCTCGAGCCCGTGTTAATATTATTGATAAGGTATTTAAATACATTAAAATATATATATAATGATATATTTTGGCTACATTTGCATAACCGTATGGGTGTGCGTGCGTGCTAGCTTTCGTGTGTGTGCGCACGCACACGCGTGTGCGTGTGCGTGTGCGAGGGCGTGTGTGCGTGTGCGTGTGCGTGGGCATGCGCGTGTGCGTGCGTGCGTGCGTGGGCGAGGGAGTGCGTGCGTGCGTGTGTGCGTGCGTACGTGTGTGCGTGCCAGTAAATATGGTTAAAACAAATTATAATACGATAGATGTTGGAGTAAAACGCCGGCAGTGATATTGGTAAGATGGCATTGCATATTAGAACAAAATGGATGCTTTAATTTACTAATGCTTAGTTACTCAAGCGAAGTAAAAAAATTAACTGAAGTCTGAAGAAAAAAGCTAAACTAATTAATTTAGTTAATGATGATGACTAATTGTCATGCACTTAGTTATTGAACCATGAATTTAATTAACTAAAGATTTATTAATTCAGACAAACTAAATAAATAAAAAAAATTGATATCTAAATGAATAATCGTTAGTTTAAGTTAAATTAAATCGTTATATATATATGCCGAAATGAGAAAAAGTAGGAGGGAAATATAAAGAGAGAAAGAGGAAGAGCGAAAAAGAAAGAAAAGTGAGTGATGGAGAGAGAGACACACACAGACAGACAGAGAGAGAGAGAGAGAGAGAGAGAGAGAGAGAGAGAGAGAGAGAGAGAG